TTATAATGGTAAGGGTTCATGCCTTACACAGGAGAAACGCAGGTACAATAGCGCTTATTGTCCTGCGAGATACACGGTGGATGTCCAGTCCGATGTTTCAATAATCGGAACAATGGAGGTGGACTTATCGGCTGGAACTCAGTTGGTGTACATTACACCAAACATGATGATAAATATGATGATGTCAATCCACGATTTCATGAACCATATAGAATTGGTTGTCCTTACTCATGACTACGAAGAATGACAAGGAGGGGAATCAAACATATTAATCACAAGAGCCTTTGTCTCAAGGCTAACGAACGTGAGCCATATTGGATTCCGATACAACGTATCAGGAATCGCATCTCATGGTATTACAGCAATTCCCGAAAATCGACATACCACCAATCAACTTCAAGGCCTTACCTGGAACCTTAAACCTTCCTCCCAACAAACAATTCAAGTTCCACAAAAAATCCATACATCCCAAAGGATTGACGGTACTCTCCGTCTTTCTTTCACCGATTATTCAGCTAAGTCATCCCTACCCCTATCATCCACAAAAAGGGAAACCTCAACATCCTCGGAGCAAGAGGATGAGCTTATACTCGTCATCCTTGAAAATGAGTCTATCTGGGACGAAGAACCCCATTGGGATACTTCTTACTCTGAAAAAGAAGAAGTCCTCCAAATATCATGCAAAGAAAATGCATCCGATGGAGAAGAAGATGATGACTTCTCCCTCTTCCTATATCTAAATGCGCATAATAATGAACAATGAACAAAGTTCATTCACGGAAGGCGGTGGGATTGAAGGTCCGACAGAAGAAGACTACAGGAGACAGAAGATGAACCAGATACCCTAAATCCTAAAACGGAAACTTTCGTCAACGAAGCTGCGGAGGAAAATGACAGCTATACTAAGAAGGCTTCGAAGAGCTATCAACAAATCTTATGGGAACGCATTACTCCACTTCAACCATCCAACATGAATTCTATTAATAACATCGCCATTTATTTTACCAGCACTTTGAACAATTAACTCAATATATCTAAAATAAAGTAATGCAAGATGTAATATAAAAACTGTGAAGAGAAGAGACAACAACCTAAAAAACAAATAACAACAGACACAGACTGAAGACTACACAACTCGACTGTTACTGATAGTACTTATGAAGATTATCTGCATTCCAAGTCTGGGGCAGGTTTTTCTCTAAATCCTTGAAATAAAAGGTTCCAGGTTTGATCATGGAAGTAACGATAATGTACCCTCTCATCTAAGACTGACAAATTTATGACCAAAAGCGATTTTAAGCATTAAAGAAAAAACAATTTCAGGCATTAAGAAAAAAAATGGTTTTATTAAATTAAAAAAAAAAACTTTGCTTGTCATTTCACTCTCGCATCTAGGGCTGTCAATTTGGCTCGTTGTTCGTGAACAGCTCGTGTTCGGCTCGTTCACTAAGCCTAACGAGCCGAACACGAACAAATTTTTAAGCTCGAAATGTAAACGAGGCGAACACGAACAACAGTTTGTTCGCTCGTGTTCGGCTCGAAATGGC